CACGTTCTGAAGCTTAGTCAGAAGACAGTCCGCCTAAGGCTTGTGTCTAATTGGGATCGAATCAAAATGTAAGGGGCTGCGCTCTAGGGAGCAATCGCGAGGTATACAAGAGGTTGTATTCGATGAGGAGCTAAGCTCCCAAGCTACGTAGCTGTCTATATACAAGCTGGTTACCCGAGTAACAATCGGACCGGTGAAGTCTAGGTGCACGAGGCAGCTTCTGGGTCCTGCGGCTGTCGTCTGAACGTCGTTCGGGCGGTGCGCAGAGAATCCGGGTGCTCGAGACAGCACCCGGGTTCTGCGAGTAGGCCGAGATTCCATCGAGGAGCTATCCAAAGGGCGTTCAGCCCGTTACAAGCGTAAGATCTATAGTTACGAGCTATAGTACTTATAGACGGACATAAGGTGCTAGCGCTTATAGATAGTAGGGCAGCACAAACTGTTATCTTACTACGAGTAGTGGAAGACAATGATATACTCTATTAAACTAAGAAAGTTCTAATGCGAGTGGTATTAGCCGACGATAGTTCTATAATATATAGGAATGGCTGGATTCAACTTAAGACCGAGGTAGTAACGTTACACCTAGCTAGTTAAGAAAGCTGAGAAAGAATTAGTATTATAGATCTAGGAGACACTGAGATAATAATTAGCTACGATTAGTTGCTAAAGCATAACCCTGCTATAGATTAGTAAAAGAAAATAATACTTAGCAGAGAACCTATATGTAAGGTTGCTAGAGTACGACATAAGACACGCCTGACGAATTAGCGCGTAACCTAGGATGGGAGATTTGGTATAATCTTACCGTATAAGATCGCGAGAATCTATACGACGGACTCTTAGAGTATAGAAGTTATTTAGATACGGTAGATCGCGACTATGAAGGAAGGATTGGTACTATAGTTAGCGATTCTAATAGAATACTAGATGGACGAGTTTAGGGAACTGTTTAAGGAAAACGAAGTAATAGACTTAGTAGAATACTAGGATTGGGATTACGAGATCATTCTGGAGAAAGGAGCGAAGTTAAGCCTAGGAGGAATATACTCTATAGCGCCTGAGCACGATGCTAAGCTGCGGGATTATCTCTAAAAGAACTTAAAAAAGAGATTTATCTGACTAGGATTAGGCCTGATAGTCTTACCTATTTTATTCGTAAAGAAGCCTAACGGGAAGTAGCGACTATGTATCGACTTTAGGAGGTTAAATAGCGTTACTTAGAAGAACTAGTACCTCTTACTACTTATTACGGAACTTATAGATTGACTTTAGGGAGCTAAGTAGTTTATAAAGTTTAATATTTAGGAAGAATTTTACTAAATTAGAATTAAAGAAGGTTACGAATAGATAATAGTGTTTAAAACGAAGTATAGACTCTTTAAGTACATGGTTATGCCGTTCAGATTGACGAATGCGCTGGTAACCTTTTAATTAGTTATTAATAACGCACTCTATAAGTACCTTAGAATCTTTATTACCGCGTATCTAGACGATGTACTAGTATACTTTAGTAGTACACGCGAAGAATATGTTGAGCATATTAAGAAGGTTTTACGAAAGCTTAAAGAATATAAGCTATACTTTAGACTAGGAAAGTGTGAATTCTATATATAGGAAACGGAATTTTTTAGATTTATTATATTAACTAAAGGAGTAAAAATAAACCTAAAAAAGATATAGACTGTATAGGAATGGCTAAAGCCTAACATAGTTAAAGATATCTAGTTCTTTTTAGGATTTGCGAATTATTATTAAAAGTTTATTAGAGATTATTTAAAGATTATAGCACCCCTTATAGAAGTAAGGAAAAAGGAAATAGGTTTTAAATAGGAATAGGAACATTAAGAGGCTTTTGATCGAATTAAGTAGATATTCCTAAAGGTACTAGTACTTGAGATGTACAGCCCTTAACGACCTACTAGAGTCGAGACCGACGCGTCTAACTACGCACTTAGAGCTGTGCTATCACAGTAGTGCCTAGATAAAAAATAGAGACTAGTGTTCTACTATTCACGAAAGTTCTTAAGAGTAGAACTTAATTATAATGTTTACGATAAGAAACTACTTAGAGTAGTTGATGCCTTTAAATAATGGGAAGTATACCTGTTAGGACTCCCCAACCAGATTAAGGTTTTTACTAATTACTAGAACTTAACGAGTTTTATAATAACGAAAAAACTCAACTAACGATAAGTGTAATAGGTAGAGATGCTAGCCTAGTTTGACTTTAAGATTACGTACCGCGCGGGAACGCTTAATAGAGTAGTAGACGCTGTAAGTAAGAGGTCTGATTTGCGCGAAGAGGGTTATAAGGAACTATATAACGCCTTACTTAAGAAGATGCCTAATAGTAGTCTGAAGTACAACCAGCCGGAACTAGCTAAAGTAGCTAAGGTGGCTAAGTAGATAGAAACGCTATAACAGTAATGGCAGTAGTAAGTAGCTAGCTGGTAGTTTGAGCCCAATAAAGTAGGCTCTGACGAACTATTAAATGACGAACGAGAGTACTGAGATATAGTTTCAAAGAATTAAATATATATACCTCCATACATAAGATTAAGTCTTATATAGGAACTGCACGAGTTCTAAGAGTACGGACATATAGGAATTAAAGAAATAGTTAGACAACTAGCTAAGGTGTTTGTAATACCACGTATGCGTACGAAGGTGCAGGAAATACTAGGTAACTATTTAGCATATCACTAGAATAAGCCTAAGAGATATAAGCTCTACGGCCTGTTACAACCTCTACAGCCACCGTCTAGACTATAGATAAGTATAACGATAGACTTTATAGTAAAGCTCCTAAAATCGTTAGAACTAGGATTAGCCTAATTTTGCGATATAATCTTAGTAATCGTAGACTAATTAACTAAGGTAGTAAAATTTATACTTATAGAAGAGACTATTAGAGCAGACGAATACGCGTACGAAGTTACTAAAGTATTAGTATTAGAGCACAGAATATCTAAAGAGTTCATTACTAATCGTAATAAACTATTTACGTCTAAATACTAGAATATATTCCTAGTAAGGATAGGTGTTAAAAAGAAGCTTTTAATAAGCTTTTACCCCAAAACAGATAGCTAGATAGAACGAACGAACTAGACATTAGAACAGTATCTACGGATGTACGCTAATAAATTGTAGAATAACTATGTAGAGTTGCTACTAATAGCGTAATTAGCCTATAATAGTATAAAATTAGTAATAATAAAGTATTCGCTGCACTACGCGAACTACGGATACGAGCTAATTACTTAGTAAGATCTAAAAAATATTAAAAGTATCGTGATAGGAGCAGATAATAAAGCAAGGCTTATGCGAGAATTATACGAAGAATTAAGTAAGAATATAGCTTAATAGAATCTTACAATATCTAAAATAGCAAATAAACTAAAGATTAAGGGACTAACCTTTAAGAAGGGGGATAAAGTTTTCTTATTATAATAAAACCTAAAAACTAAACGACTATATAGAAAATTAGATAACCTCTAAATAGGACTATTTAAAATTCTAGAGGAAATAAGAAAAGTAAACTATAAGTTAAAACTTCTATAAGGTATGCGAATCTACCCTGTCTTTTATAAGAAACTCTTAGAACTAGCACCTTTAGATACTAAGCTAGTAATAGATATAGAGCTTAAAGACGACGAGTATAAGGTTAAAGAAATTAAGAACCTGTGGAAAATTAGTAGTTAGTAGAAGTACTTAGTTAAGTAGTAAGGATAGCCTAAAAACTATAATACTTAGGAACCTAAAGAAAACCTAACGAACTATAAGTTACTAGTACGTAAATACCACTAGAAGCACCTAGAGAAGCGAGGGGAAGCCCCTTAAAGAGGAAGGAATAATTAAAAGAAGGATTGAAGAAGTTAGCCTATAACTAGCCTAGATTAGCTAATAGTTTAAATAGCGGTGGTTCGACGATAGGAAGGCCCGTACTAGAGGCAGAGTTCCCCTTAGCCTGCTCTTTCGCCTAGTCCTGAAGACTTAGGATAGCATAATCTTAATTAGTAAATTCCCGCTCCTGTGCCTTAACCTCTAGAAGCTTACGACGAAGATAGGCGGTCTCTATTATAGCCTAAAGTTAGCGTTCCTTAGCACGAGCGATTTTAAGACGTTTTTACCGCTTTTCAGCTTTAACCTTCTCCTACTCTTCCTTAGACACGAAAAGACTACACTTAGTAGAAATAGAAATATAACTAGTATAGCGACTAGTTACTATATTTACGAAATACTAAAGATTCTTCTCTTTATAACGTTTATAATAGAAAGTTATTTTACGACTTTGTTCTCTTATATAGTTAGCACAGGCCCGACGTTAAGAAGTTAAATTCTAAGTATAGACGCGGTAGTTCGACTAGATCTTTAGCATAGTTAGGAAGGCTACGAGGCAGAGACGGCTATAATAAGTGGACGGGCTCTAACCTTATATACAGCCGGCGTCTTAACACGCAGTACGGAAAAATAATATTCTAGAGTATTAAGATAATAGCCCTAAGAGGGGAGGTAATGTTATAAGTAATAAGAAGGATTCTCTCTTTAATAAATAACGAGATGGCTGAAGGCCTAAGGACGTCTACATTAGAAGGTAATAATTATCGCGGGGCGAAGATCACGTAACTAGCTTCACGCTAAGACTAAGTATCCTGCGCTAGTATGTGAGGACACCCTCACACGTGACTAGATGTCTTTAGGGACTTTAGAAAATACAGGGATTATTTCGTGAAGACCGTGAAGCTAGGACTAGAAGTAATGAGGATATAAGGATAGATAGATTTTATTATTACTCTTGTTATGGTCAACTTAAATTGTACTTTCTTACTAGTTACTCAACTTCACAAGATTAATACTTGTTAGTCTATTCGATATAGATTAGGAATTGTTAAACCTATTGTTATCTATCTTATAAGCACGCCCACTCCACTGCATCGCCAGACAACTACCTCACGGCGCTATTCACATATCCTTACTCGCCCTAACCTGGATCGAGCTTAGAGAAGTATCAGCACCCAACCCCGTGTAACAGTTTTAATAGGTTAACTATTAGTAATTGCCTCTAAGGTTAATAGGTTATTAGTAGTCTCTAAGTCTCTACTATAGCGCACTCTACGCGACTTTTACTAAAGTAATCTACCTCGCGAGGAGCGTAGAAGTTCTAAACCTAAAGGCTTTAGCTAGTAGAAGATTAATAGGATCCTACCTAGGTAAATGTAGGATGTAATAGTAGAAGTCCGGGTCGACTCTAGATCTTAGTGGATTAACGTTGTCTTTAATAAACAGCTGCGATATTATTTTAAAGCTGTTACTAGCTAGGACGAGACTTTTAATATAATATAACGGCGCAGGTAAGACTACTTAGATTAGTATTAGCGGTAGTATCACTTAGAGGCATATAGGAGTGCGTGGGACATTAAACGAGCCTTAATTTAAATAGACACCTATAGGCCTTGTACAAAAGGATATCAAAAGTCTACAGAGCTAGCTATAGAGAGTGTCTCCTTATATACTAATCTTAGTCGGATCCGAATCGGATCCGACCTCACAACGAGTGGTTAATGAAGAGGGCGGCGAATACTACCTCTGATCTGGCTCCGGAATTGGTCCGATACATAGCGAAGTTGTAACATCGTTACATTAAGAAGAAAGAGCTAATAAGAAAGAGTATCTATCTAGTTTTCAAGCCATTACTAATTGCAGAAGGATACATACTAACAGTTTCTCTAAGTAGGAAGGTAAGATGTATAGTATCTCTCTATATAGCGAGATACTCTAGCGTGCCTTATTATATAAAGACTTACATTAGCGCGCTAATTATAGCTGCGTATAGTGTTGTATTAAAACCTATACTATCTCCTCCTTATATATCCTTCTAAACATATCTCGTAGCGTAAGGCTGTGCTTTTTAAGCAGCGTCGACTTTTATAGGCGGTTCCGTTCTTTCCACCTATTCTCTCGTTACCAGGACTGCGCCGCAAGACCCTACTTCACGGCTCCTCTTCGTTGCTCTCGTCCTTCTCCATCACTAAAATCATGATCACTAAGTTATTGGGGCAAATGGACGAGGCTAGTAGTCGGACACTAGCACATGGCGTTTCTCCAAAGGTGGATCAGCGCCCTTCTCAAGCAGCAGCTTCACAATCGCCTCGTGGCCTCTGTATGAAGCCGCCTGGAGTGCGTTGTCGTACTCTCCACCCTGCGCGTTAACGTCGGCGCCCTTGTCGAGCAGCAGCTTCACAACCGCCTCGTGGCCTTCTAGTGAAGCCGCATAGAGTGCGTTATTAAACTCTCCACCCTGCGCGTTGACATCGGCGCCCCTCTCAAGCAGCAGCTTCACAACCGCCTCGTAGCCTTCTAGTGAAGTCGCCTGGAGTGCGTTGCCGAAGTGTCCACCCTGCGCGTTAACGTTGGCGCCCTTGTCGAGCAGCAGCTTCACAACCGCCTCGTAGCCTCCTAGTGAAGCCGCATAGAGTGCGTTGCCGTACTCTCCACCCTGCGCGTTAATATCGGCGCCCTTCTCGAGCAGCAGCTTCACAACCGCCTCGTGGCCTCCCCATGAAACCACCTGGAGTGCGTTGCCATACTTTCCACCCTGCGCGTTAATCTGTACTCCCTTCTCGACTAGTAGCTTCACAATAGCTTCGTGGCCTCCATATGAAGCCGCATAGAGTGCGTTATTAAACTCTCCGCCCTGCGCGTTAACGTCGGCGCCCTTGTCGAGCAGCAGCTTCACAACCGCCTCGTAGCCTCTGTATGAAGCCGCCTGGAGTGCGTTGCCGTACCTTCCGCCCTGCGTGTTAACGTCTGCGCCCTTTTCGATCAGTATCTTAATGATTTCGAGCTCATTATTGAAGCACGCGTGGTACAGCGAAGTGCTGCCGCTCTCGTCTTTCTCGTTGACGTTATGGCCTTCGTCAAGCAGTTGAATGATCGCACTAGCTAGTCCTGTAGTAGCTGCCAGTTGTAAAGCATATTTTGGAGTTGTTGAGCCCAGCCATCGTTCCCTTATGTTAGGAATATTGTAGAGGCTAGTACTGTAAATCATGGTACTAGCAGATACCGGGAACTGTATGCGATTAAAGTACTGTAACACAGTGTCATAGTCATGCCCATCTCGCAGAACCTTGATCTGCAGGACAGATGCAAGGTATGAGCTCTCGTGTTGAAAAAGATTTTCTAACTGGCCCATGACATTTGGAGGAATTCCATCGCATCTGGAGATGTGGTAATCGAAGTTTTGATATGAATAGCCGGCGAAAGTATTATCGCTAAGGCGGTATGCAAGATCGAGGGCGTGCTCCGCAGGTTCGCTGAATGCTACTAGATGCATATACGTCAGACACGCTAAGCTCAATCGCGCATGCACAGACTCCGAGTGTAGGAGCTGCGCTCTTATGGCCTGTTGCGACAGCCCTTGAGCGGTAGTTGTCAAGAATTCCTGAACAGTGTAGTGGATCGGCCGGATCGTTCCGTTGCTTTCTTCCAGCAGGTTCGCACAAGCCTCAAGGATTACTTGTGGGGAATCAAACTGCAGGTCGTGTAGATCTGTGCACCTCTCACTTACTGCAAGCGCATATTGTAGTTCATCAGTGCCGAGAGGCCTTCGGGCGTATATCATCCAGGCGAGGCATTTCAGTGCTAAATCTCTCATGTATAGTGGCTGTTCTTCGATCCGCTCCAGTATGCGAACATAGGTGTCTGGCAAACCCCGCGGTAAAGTATCCAGTGCGTCTTCTACTATCCGGTCCTTTCGAGCCTTGCTGGCTTGACAGAGGCTATCTAGTTGAAGATTAACCCAGAGAAACCTGCTCTGAGTTCAGTCTGTTAAGATCTCTAGGTTAACTATATTGTCTGCACTTACATGCCCTCCGCCTTCATAGCGAGTGTTTGGATAATCCTCTCTGTAAGCTTGTCGTTGGTAACATAAAGCGTCTTTCCATGCTCTCCAGCCCGGAGCTTCTCGACCTGGCTGCGCGCAAATGTTTCTATATCCATTGCGACGTTTTCGGCTAGAACCTGAATTGTAGGTATGCGCTGGTCTTCGAAAGCTTTGGCGATGTCCATCTCCTTGCGACTGGTGACCAGCACCTTGACGTTGCATGAAGTCGGTACAGTTACTATACCGGTGATAAAGCCAAGGATGGCTTCCCGCTCCCTCTCCAGGCATTCATCTAGAGCGTCGAACACAACATACACCTGGCGCCAATCTTCGATGAGGGACATAAACCTGTCCTGGGTGCTAACCAATGATGGAGACAAGGCATCGTGTTTGAGTTGGAGCAGGTTGTGGGGTATATGGTCCTTTTTGCGGCACAGTTGCTTGATCAAAGCAGCTACAATCTGAGAGATGTCGCTCAGCTGTGTGTTCTGATAGTTATAGTAGGCAAAGCAGATAGCGGTATCTTGTTGCAGTCCAACCTTGGTCGTAATGTCTTCTATCACGTTGGATCTATAGGATGAATAAGAACAGATTGAAGATGAGATCGGCTGAATAGTCACTTACGCAAGGACAGATTTGCCAATTCCAGCTGCGGGTGGTCAGAACGATGCGTTTCTTGAGGGACGTCGCGTCACTTACGTTTCCCATGGCACCACAAAAGAGATGAGACAGAGTTACTGAACCACTGCTGATACTTGGATTCTCGTACCAACCAGTCGCACGTCCCTGCATGTTTTTTCGCATAAGTATCTTGGTGAGTTTTCTCGAAATCGATGTTGGAGACCCAAGAGAGGAACGCCGACCTCTCTTTGCCTAGATGATGTCAGCAACTTGTGCACGCACAGGGCATGAGGGCAAATGGTCTTACGTTCTTCTTCACGGCGCCTTGCCTGCTCAGCCTCCCTTGAAACATTGAAATGCAGTGCCTGGACAGAGTGCAGCAACACATCAAGATGATGCTGCAGGTCTATTTTGATGGATACATACTCTGACTCAAACGTCTCCCAGTGCTGGCGCATGAAGACCCGAACTGATGTCCACTTTCGTTGGTTGTCATTGGCGTCGACAAACACACGACGCGCCTTCCAACCGAAGATGAGAATGTTCGCATAAGCGTTGACCACCGTCTTTTCCACTAGCCCGATATCTGCTGCCTGCGCATACTCCGCCAGAGGACCCAGGTAATCTCCAAAAGTACAGATCAGCTCGGCCAGTCTGCTGAAAAATGTCGTAAAATCCAAAGCAAGATCGATCATAAGCCGGACTGCGCCAACGACAAGAGACGATATTTCAGGGCTCGCCTGGATGCCTATGGCAACGCCTCCCATGAATCTGTTCAGGAACCCCAAAAACTTTGCAAGACGCTCAGCCTGAGGTCTGAAGGATGAGTTGTCCTTGTGTGCCACATCATATGCATGTACCTTGGATAGCAGGGCTCGCTCGTCAATGGATTTTGATGCCTGCGCAAACGCTGCTGTTTCTGATTCAGGGAGCTCCTTCAGTGTTTTCGCTAGAGCCTTCTCAAGCACAAGGCCCTGCGGCGTTACGGAAGCTGATGCAACTCCGACCGGTGTAGCTACGCCTGGCGAAAATGGTGGTAACGAAGCGGGAGGAGAAGCTGTTTGCTGTCCAAGTGGCAGAGCGACCAGGCGGGTTGGGTGGGCTGGGCTCGAACTGGGACGTGTCGCGTCTGGTGCGAATAGCGTACGTACGCGATTCTGAATGCGGTCTCGTTTTCGCATCGTGCTATAGATTTGCAGGATCGAAGACCATGCCTAGCAACGTGAGCTAACGTGTTGTGTGAAAGAGGTCGGCAGCGTCGCGGGGCAGAGTCAAGGCTCAGCTGGCTGCGCCTCCTTTGTTGCATCGCGCTGCAGGAAAACTCCAATTCGCACAGTCATCTCGAAAAACACTTTTTCTATGATATTTCTATAGCAAAACCTATATGTAGATTATTCGAAGTGACTATGAAGTTGTCCATCGGCCATATGGTTGCTATGGAACTGGTTAACGTATACTGCACTTGCACTACGGAACGACACGTGCCTTATAAGATGGTATGTACTGAGAGCCGTCGGAGAACGGAAATGCACGTGACGCAAAATGACGATAACAGTCATCAGAGGAGTCAACTTGCGACCTTCTCTCAGCGGTACGCAGAATGTAATAGATGGGTAAATTTAGTAGATTATACTCTCTATCGTCCCGCTTAGTATCTTATACACAAAAGTAGGCTGAATAGTTTCTTAAGGTTAGTAATAACGGATCTGTACTTACTACCCCTCATAGAATAATACTATTTTTGATATCCGATACTACCACATCCGCGCTATTAGAGCTTTCCATGCTCCTTATATAGTCTAATCCTCCGCATTGAGCGTTTCGCTCGACTGTACTGTTAGAGAGATCGCTGGCTATATTATCTCGCCTAGTCGCATCGCTTTACTCTTTGGCTCAAGCGTATTTACCTCTAGCGCAGCACTCTTACGCTTCCGACTACGTTTTCCCTTACCCTTATTCTTTATCGCAGCCTCTTTTTAAGCACGCTCCGTTCGTGCTTTCTCAAGGTCTCCGTAACCTATTACCTTAGTCGTTTCTAATACTAGCGACTTAGTTAATTGTTAAGCTTTAGCCTCGTTATTGATTGTCTTTAGAAGCTAGATATAGTTCTGCTGGAGAGTACTCGTGGTAAACGATAACTGTGTAGCTTTGGCGAATTTGCGTAAGCGCCCCTATAGTCTCTGTTTGCTTATCTCATCTAGGGTATAAGTATCTTATTTGATCATTAGATTTTGTAGCGCTATAAGCCCTTCTACTGAAACTAGCGTGATAGGCGTTTACCCTAATTTGTCTTAAGAATGAGGTACTACTCTCTCCTCGTTAGCTGTGAGGATTATTAGTTTAAGAGGCTTTGGTATAACTATCTCTAACTACTCTATCTTGGTTAAATGGGAACAAAGCACTAGCAGCGAACCTAGCTTTAATATTCTCAAGCGTTAATGCTCTTTCTCTTATAGGGCTATATAGAGAGGTAAAATACTCCTTTCTAATGGCGTTTGCGCCTTCTCACTCTAGTCGCTCTACCTGTTTGCGATAGGCTGCTTTTAGTAGAGTAAAAACGGATATATTATAGGGCTAGGTTTTGTGGAAAGTATAAGAGGTAATATGATAGAGAATTGTGTTGTTTGCGAAATAATAGTCAAGGATCTCTACGGTCTTATAGGTTCTAAAGCCATTAGATATTAGTACATACTTAAGGTCTGCCGTTAGCTTGGTGCTTTGTTTTAGATTTAAATATACACTTAAGCTATTGTAGGCTGATATAAGAGTTAGTATATCTAGATTCTAAGTATACGTACTGCTATCTAAGGGTAGGAAATGTCGTCTGATTACTCTAGTAGGTGGTAGCTGGCTGAATAATTATAGGATTTAGATACCTACTGTTAGAGCTAATACACTTGATCATAGTTACTATTATGCGTTTAACACGTGCGTCTCTATAATCTCGCTTATTATCATGATAGCTGGATATATATACTCAGTATTGGCGCGCGCACGTATCGCAGCGCCGCTCTCAAGGGCGTAGCCCATTACACGAGGACCTTTATAAATCCTAGCATTAATAGTATAACGCTAGTCTTATCTATATTATATACGTTCTCTGCTAAGATAGCTAGGTCTCGCAATGCTCTGCTGATCACCTCAAACTAGTGTATTATCTTCTAGTAGTTACGTATTTATATCGTAATGGTTCTAGTCTAGCGCTATAGCTCTTTTTGACTAAACTTTTAGATAGCATTTCGTAAAGCTCTGCGCCTAGTTCTTACCTAGTTATTTAAGTGGATTCCGTGTTTTAGGTCGCTTGTGGGCTATAACGAAGGCTAACGAAGGTATGTATTTTATCCGCATAGGCTGTCTAAGATCAGACATTTGTAGAAGGAACTTAACAAGAGCTTTCTCCTTATATAGAGTGAGGTACTATTGGCTCTATACTTTCTCTTCGATAGAGCGATGGCCGCAGTTACGATAATAGAGAGTAGTATAGGGCACTCCGCGATAATCTGCTAAGGAACGGTACGATTTAGATGCATCTGGAGGAACGCTCTAGGCCAGAGCCTAACTAGTCTTGTTCATTTATCCCAATAGTATAATGAGTTTAGCAAGAGAGAAAGGCGAGAGCGACAAACAGGAGCTATAAAGTAGGGCATTGCGACGTAAGTCCTGGTAGCAAGAAAATAGATAGAAAGAACGGAACCGCCTGTGAAATTCGACGCTACTTAAAAAGCATAGCCTTGCGCTATAGAATATATTTAAAAGGGTATTCAGGAAGAGGATAGTATAGGTTTTAGTTAATATAATACTATACGTAACTAGCTATAGTTAGCGCACTAATATAAGCCTTTGTACAATAAGGTACGCTAAAGTCTCTCGCCTTATTAGAAGGTTTTTGAAACGGCGCAGGCAGGACTACTCGGATCAGTATCGGCAGTAGCGTCACTCAGAGGCATATGGGAGTGCGTGGGACGTCAAACGAGCCTTGATTCGAATAGACACCTATAGGCCTTGTACGAAAGGATATCAAAAATCTATCGAGCTACTATGGGGAACAGGTGGGGTTTTATATCAGCAGGTCTGCCCTAGGATAGTGCGTGCCCATGTTCGGATCCCTTTCGGATGTTAGTTCGGTAGGTACTCGAACCGTTACAGTTTTAAGCGTCTTACCTACATGCTCAGCGAAACTACTAGTATATATCTTTTTATAATTAGTATATGCTTAAAAGCTAAATAGGTACTCTTTCTTAGTAGCGCTTTCTTTTTAACCCTTTAAAATATAGAGAAGTTATCTAGGTTATAAGTAGACAGGGGGTATAAAATAAGAATCGATTATTAGCGTTGATAAATTGATCGACGGCACGATTAATATTATAATAGTCCTTTTTGAGACTAAATTTCTTATAGAGAAAGAGCTATAGAAGTTTATTATATTGACTATAGCTTTATAACCTCGCAAAAGAGAATCTGGAGCTCTGGATCGCAAGCCGTCTCTGCACGGCGGGTGTCTCCCGACGTAGGGACGGACCTTAGGCATTTTAAGTACCCTCATCGGCTTCTGTATCGAATTTCGTCTACAAACATGTCCCGGGTTTGTGCCTAGAAAGTTCGCTTACATCCGTTTGTTAGTCTAGCTACCTGAAAGGGACTGGTGCACTTACATCCATTGAATTGCGAGTAATACAAAGGCGGAGGCTGCGGCTATCGAAGTGAATGCAACCGCAACCCATCCAACCGCTGGAGTATATGCAACAAGGACAAGCGAAAGGAAAAGAAATGCCGCGATTACCAAGAGCTGAATAAAAGACGAAGCCACAAGCCCTAGGCGCTCCCATGTATGTTTGCCAATGCCATCGGACAATGGCTTAGCATGTTCTCGCTGAAATGCTAGGAGGCTCATGGACACAGCCACCAAATAAAGCGCAACGATAAAGAGCAACCAAGAGATACCAAGCAGGGTTCGAACGGTTTCACGGGTAAAGCGTGGGTTCGCCCCGAGCTCGCTAGGGTTTGCGATTTCTGACACAATGACAGCGAAAGTTGAAGCACCGAAGATGGAAAGGCTGAGAACGAAGGAAAGAAATCCTTCGAAAGACTTCATAACTTCTGTGGTACTTGCATTGCTCGGCGCCTTTGCTTCCGAGGGATCAGCTAAGACAGGTGGCTTGGTGATGGAGTCTTCTTGGTGGGCAGCCATTTTAAGAGTACATAGAGTGGAATTATCAAGAGTGAAGGGTTCTACCAGCGAGGAGTATACAGAATATGTATCTAGTACTAGATTTGCTAGGTCGCTAGGTGAGTGGGAAAAAGAACAAAAGGAAAAGATGAGCAGCAACGCAACGACACAGCTTACTTATCGGCTAGACTACGTTACACTACTGAGTAGGTGAACAGCGCCACGGTGCGGCTGAGTGGTGCATTCTGCCTGTGCGTCTAGCTTTAGCAGGCTGATTGTAGATTCTGTAAGTGTTAGACGGGCAGCTAGCGCAGCTAAAAGGCGGCAAAGGGAGCGGGGTCGCTCGCCAGACTCAGCTGAAACCCAGCTGGCCGTCCACTTAAGATTTCGCACTTTTCCTCTTCAGTCGGCACGAAGTGGATGGCAGGCATGCCTCCCCACATGCCGCTTCCTCTAGAACTGGACGGAAACGGTCTGTGACCAGCGTCGCACCCAGGCGTTGTATTGGTCCCAAGAGGTGCCGCATCTAAGCCGGTATCTCCTCATCAAAGTATTGGGAGAACTATGCTGCTGATGCGTAGTCAATGCTGGTGGTGACCGTAGCGCTGAAAAGCTGTCGGGCAGTCGCTGGGCGGACACCTTGTAGTCAGAATAGTGCTTGTGCATTTTTCTATCCCCGTTTTGCCGCTCTAGCAACGTGGTTTTCACTGTCAAGGGTGCTGTCAAAAATCATTCCTGGTATTTTAGCTGAATCCGGAGTGTGGCTCATTGCTGGCCCTACGCGTAGCGCCTGCATGCGTTGCCCAGTACTCCCCTTGCTATGCGCGTGTACGAAGTGCATCAGCGTGGTTCTAGCCCCTCAGAATGTGGCGCCTTGTCTCGTCGCCCACTGGAGAGCGTCAGGTAGGCTAGTATCGTTAGTTTTCAACGAGGAGTTATAGAAGTCAAGTAATGATAGATTGGATTAGATAATTATATATTATTGTAATGCGATAGATGTTGAATAAAGACAACTGTTCAAAGTACGAATCCATGCTAAAGTCCTAGATTTTGGTGCAAAGCTCAAAAAGGATCCCCTTCGTCGGGTAATAGAGAGAGGTACGCTATATCCATTCGATAGCCTACTCCCATCCATCATTTCAAACTCTTGGTCACTTATAAACAGATGGAATGAGATAAATTCTATCAATCTTAATCCAAGATGATTTTCCGGAAGCGCCAACACAGTTCATGCGTATTCCAAATGTATGTCGTGATGTTGTCGTGCTTACTGGCATGTCCCTGGCGAGGTTCGACCACATGATTGTTAGAGTATATGTGATCATTTCTTTGCCATCCCAGAGCATTTTTACGCGGCATTGGGTGAGGGAATAGTCGATCGCAGTATATATAACAGCTGTGTATCTCTTGTCCGCCTGGACAGTGACGGTTTGTGAAAAGGTTTGTCCGTAACCATAACCAGATGGGCCGTTGGCCTGAATGCATTGTCCGGGGTAGCAACCCTTCGTGGTAAGTTGCCAGGTTGCTCCTCTATAGCCATTCTCTGCAAACCATGGTGCGATGGTTAGGTTGCCGAAGTCGGTGTTACTGATCAGATTGCCTTCGAGCGTAACTCGTGGAAAAACATTGACAGCAGAAACTAAGCGAGGTACGCTGGCCGTGTAGACAATGGGCACAAAAGCCGCTAATGAAAGTAGTAGCAAGCTCTAGAAATGGAAAATGATACTTTTAGATAACACTGGAAAGTTTCGAGTGTTTTGGCGTATATGATGTGAGGTTGAAGATTTTTATGATATATAGGTGGTATGTTTTTTTTGAATAGTTGCAGAAACTGCTAAACTTGCATGGATACATTTACGGCCTACATTTGTACTTAGCCAAGAATGGTGTAGAAAACACCTTGTTTCTATTAGTCTCGAGAATCAGTGTAGCGAGGTGTTCTAGATGCTAGAATCGATCTATTTTTGCAAGTGGCTTAATATTTAGCCTACTTGCAAGGGAGTTGAATAGTACGCTTAGTTACGCGTATAGCTAGCTTCTTAAGTTGAGCACTAATGGTGAGATAGAAATGAGATCTTTGCATTATGCTAAAACTGGATTGGTGTGTGCTACTTAAAATGTGCAAATCAGTTTTTGAGTCGTAAGACACTATTCCTTCATTATAAAGTATGTCAGCTTAGAAGTACTATAGTAGGTCATCGAGGAGACATCAAGAAGCCTTCTTTGGCACTGGAGCTTGAATTGTCTTTTGTTGGAGGAGGAAGAGTTTGATCTTTCGACTTTGCGGATTTTTTGGCATTGTGGTAAAAGAATACTTTTCGCAAGGAAAACCATCGCGCCACCCCTCCACATATCCGCTATGTACCCGAGAATCTCGCCTCTCAGTGGACCATACTAGCTTTCGTCACTGGCCTTCGTTCGCTGAGGTCGCTGAGATAATTTCTGATTGTGGTCAATCGAGAATTTCGATTTCGAAGTCCTGTTTAGGTGAATGTCCAGTATTCCGGAAAGTTTCTGAACTTTTCCCCAAAGGAGTCGGGCTGGAGAGCCGCAGTATGTATATCCTTCAGCTTCTTCAGAAAAGAGTCAGCAAAGACTCATCGAGACGGTCTGTTGAAGGACCCCAATATCTGATCTATGAAACGGTGCCCTGAAAGCGCATAGGCAACATTTAAATCCAAACTTGAAGACATCGCGCTGGCGGCGAACTTGTTAATCGCTAGTTGACTGGATTTTGAGAATTAGACGTAAATATTTGATCTCTTATAGAACTAGGAAACCATTCGACCCTGCGAGGTGAGGGAATCACTCGATAGGGAGAGCTCGCGCATCATATATATACAGTCGGGCGCAGCGATCTGTTCGCTTAGCGCTTCACCCCACCAAACTCAACACCAGCCCACCAACTTTGAAGCACCATAACGCCACAACAACGTGATTGAAAAAGACCGTGGAGGTCGCAAAATAATTGTATTTTATCTAATATTTAGTTTAGTAGCCCCTTACAAGTCTGCAGGCTTTAATACGGCGTGGCATAGAGGTAATAAGCGTATAGATCAGCGTATTAGGTATAGCTACCCAGGCTGCCTTTAAGCAAGCCTTAAACTCCGCCTAGCTTTCTGTTGTATTAATAGAATCGATATTTAGATTTCGCCAATAGGCCTCACGCTTTAGAGCCCACTAGAGGTACTTAATTAGGTTAAGATCTAGTAAATAAGGTGGCCAGTTTATAGTATTAATTTAGTAAACTTAGAGCTAGTTTCTTAAGACTCTTAAAGTGTAGATAGGTGCGTTATCCTGTAATAAACGCTGCCTAATTCTATAGTTAGGTAATAGGCCTTCCTCTAAAGCTTAGATATAGCTGGTAGAGCTATATCTATGCCGTTAGGCGGATGTATCGCGGGTTATAATTACTAGAGAACTGCGCCGAATTCGACCACCTCTACATAGCTAAATCGCGCCCCAAACTATACAGGCGGGCTGCTGGGCAGTAGAGACTGCGTCTATTATCTCGCGCTTCTATTTCTATATAGGTAGTCGCTATACCTAAGGTGTATTATAGCTAGATCTACAAGCGATACTACACTCGTTACTAAAGATTAAAGTATTGTAGTAAAATGCGAACGTACGCTAGTTGTTAGCCTAAATAAGACGCTATTGCGCTACTGCTACACTAATTTTTAGTCGACGAGCAGCTCTAAACTTGTGTAAGCCTTTATCAGCCAGCGCACGTTATGTTGTACGCCGTAATACTTCTTTAACTCTAGCCTCGCGTATTAGATCAGCGTACTTAATAGATAGATTTCTTTTTACTATTCGTAATAGTCGGCGGTAATCGCGAGGTGATAGTATTAGTTTAGAGCCCAGCCGCGGTAGTAAGGTGACGCGGTAGTGGTGTTTCTATCGTGATATCGTTTTTTAGATACAGCGTTGCGTACAGCTAAGCGCGTTAGTAATTTTAGCTGTTAATAAACCACCTTTAAACTGCGCGATAGCGTAAGTGCGTTGGGCTTTAGATAATTCACATCCGCGCATTCGATTAGACGAAATTTCAGCAGAAAAAGAGCTCATATTAGTGTAGTTACATGGTGTTGAAGAAGTGGTGGATCTGAGCTGATCGCGTTGGTGTTGCGAGGCCCGTGCTTACGCGAACAGATCGCTGTCCTAGTACTGTATATCAAACCTACATACCTGTGGCTATTACACGCCACAAAAATTCTACCATCCGTATCCTTTGAGGAGGAGATAAGCTGTTTTTTGATTTCGTGCGATACCTTTCATAGGTGCTTTAGAAGAGGGGAAGAAGTGCGACAATTTTAAATATGTGAGATCGAACAGGAGGAGCCAGGCCTATTTCTTCCATTCCATAATAATGAATATTGTATCCAAGTGCCTTCTGAGACGGCCATGATTCATAAGGCGTTTTGGAGGCAGGAATCTTTCATGGGCTGTAATATGTAAATCTGGTGTCTAGAAGCTACGTTGCTTAGGCGCCCAATCAAAGCCGGACATTGATAGATAGGCTATATACCCCTTGCCTAAAATCTAGTTGTCATTTTATGTAGCTTCTAAAGTGTTTCTCTCTCATTCAATATGCCAGACATTACTTATCACTCGCTTAGCCTCTCAATGCAATAGACTCTCCGTGACTAAGAGGCATATGCCGCTCTGATTTCCTTGACCACAAGATGTGGTACGCTCTCGGCAGGGAAATGCCCACCTTCATTGTAACGTGCTAGATTTGTTATATTGTGAAATCTTTGCAGCCAACTTAGGGGCTAGAAAAATAAGTTAGCGCTATGAGATCCAAGAGTTAAAAATGGATTTTGATGAATTAAGACTACTGAGAGTTCGACTTACTACAAAATTGAAGTACTTGATCTCTGGGTACGCAAACGTTGGGTCGCCTCGAAGTTTGAACTGCAGTGCGCTTGTCGGCACCGATGATCTTTTCGCAGGCGCAAATAACGAGTTGTCAAATAGCTCCTTGTAACTCCTTATATTTCCGTAAATACCAGGGGCGTAAAGTAAGAAGGCTTGTCTGATAATGTCTTCCTCGGTATACGCGATGTCACTGCCAGTGTAAACCAGGTGGTACATCCAGGCTAGAAAGCCGACGGGGCTGTCGTTGAGCGCGTACGCAATGGAAAGAGGGTAGCTTGAGTGGATTGCTGCATAAGCCGAGTGTTGGTTGAAAAAGGCCTGTACGGACGGGATGTATTCCGACTCTTCCTGCGTAGTCTGGTTTGTAGCATAGCGCGCAAGGTCATTTTCGTTGGGAATCACGTAAAGGAAATCGCTGAAGTGGTGTGTGATGCGGTTTTCGTACGTGCTTACCATCGTGAGACCGATGAGGGCTCCAAGATCCGTGCCTGTCTAAAGTTAGCAACGCATGACCAGCAAATATGGAAGACATGGAAACCCAATTGCTCTACAGTCGACTTAATCTAAAACGTAGGTTTACTTACTGTAGATTGCAAATTTTTCATAGCCCAACTGTTCCATAAGATTTGCAAATACTACACCGTGCAAGGTAGCGTTTAGCCCAGGTGTTCTGGGAGCTGGTGAGAAGCCAAAGCCCGGAAGGTCAGGTGCTACGACATGAAAGGAAGTAGCATTGTTGATGGATGGCTTCGTGAGCTCGGGAATGACTTTCTCCCACTCAAGGCTTGTAGAAGGCCAGCCGTGTAACATCAGAAGAGGGATAGCGTCTGCTTTTTCGCTCCTCTGGTGAATGAAGTGAATGTCTAGAGAGTCGTTGTAACCTTCCCCTGGCGGTGGTACCGTGGTTATATAATGGTCAAATTCTTCGTTCAATCTTTTCTGCTCTGACAGCCAGTCGTATTCTTCAGACCAGTACGCGGCGATGGAGGATATGTTGGAGCTGGGTGGACCGTCAAACCAGGCTGGCGCAGCAATATCAGCGGTGGAACGAAAGCTGGCTACCTTGGAGCGTGTCTGCTCAAGAAAAGCGGGGTCGACGTTGATTTCGTAGGGCCGAGGTATGTACGTAGGGTTGTCACTTGACGCTTGGGTAGACATCAAGAGTGAGGCCGATATAGAAACAGGAACGAGAAAACAGTTAAGCGGATGCATCTTGACACTGAAGATTTAGGCTCTCAGTTTGCATCATGTTAGTTATGCGCAACCACGGCTTTTGTATCAGCTCGGTTGTCCTATTGAAGATGAAGCTACATCAAGCTTGGTTCATGCAGTAGCTGGTTTGGTAAGCTGTCGCTCCTAGCGTAAGCTGATCTATCCAATGGTTACGACGCCGAGCCGAAGGAAGCGACTTGACAAATCGAAATCGCAGGCGTGAAATGATTTTCAGCGTCATCATAGTTGCTTAACAATCCACGTTACATGAGAAGGTTATTACTAGCAGGGGTAGGGGATGCGCAATTGGTTAGATAACTCTAGTCTACATCGAAGTATCTGTGTGTAGTCTTTCAGTTCCTCAATCAACCGATAAAGTCGGAGATAAAATCGCCCGGCATCAACAATAGTATGAAGCCTACTTGGAACCTGAATTTCTCATTACAACAAGACTAGTTATTGTATACTTGATATTTACTCAGGTAAAGTAGTGCTGATATCTCGCGGTAAAGGTTGCTCGTTCGGGTGAGCAAGTTCGCTTAAACTGAGGGTTCTAGGTTTAGAAATCAACCGAGAGTCGTCTAATGCTTTGCGTAGAAGCATAGTGGGTTCACAAATATTATTTGTCAGCTTCGCACTTTCAAAGTGTAGTTCGGGCACGGCGTTGTGAGGCCAAGCATCAATTACTAATATTTTCGTTCTCTCCCGCTCGCGATGTTTCTCTCTCGTTACGTAATTTGTTATTCAAACAAATTCTCATAGATAATTTACTGCACTAGAATATTGTAAAGTAGCAATATAAAGACTAGTGCTTCTACTTGAAGAGAGAAAAAAGCACTCATATCTAGAAGATTATTACGACTATTTATGTGAATGCGCTCTATCTTAGTTATTACATTCACTGCTTTCTACATAGGAACGAATATATCTCACTACGTACACTTCTCTAATTCAAACCTGGATATATGTAAGAACGTCTGTTTGTCTTCTTATTCAATGTATAACAGTCGTGAATTGTATGTATTAAGAATCTTAGCTCTATTCTAATCACTCATTCCCACCCGATCAAATCCCCTGATTAAACCCCTCACTCGGCACACTAATGCCCTTGTCAACCCACTGCTTCACACCAGTATACCTCCATTTATTGTACCAGGCCTTTGGTGTACTCTCCGGGCAATCCAAGACATGGTCCCCAGCCCCATTACACGTCGCATAAACCCCAATCAGCGTACCGACAAAACTCCCCGTACGCCCGCTCACTTGACTTGTGGCCGCCTTGCCCAACTCGAGCGTCTCCGAGTCGCCCTCGGCCAAGGCAGCGGAGAACAAGTACTCATCCGGGGTGCACATGTCAATCATGAGGCGGACGGGCTGCTCTTCCCATGCCTCGGGAAGGGGCTTGTACTTGTTACGGGACTCGGTCGAGTTGAAGCGAAACATGGTTGAGCCGTTGAGCCGAGTAACACCAAGCTGCACATTAGCATACTGCGTCAGGAACGCGGTGATGCCGGCTTCCTGGCCGTCCTGAGTCGGGTTAAAGGTCATATCCACGCTAAATTTGAACGTGCTATCAGTTTGCCTACGTCCCACGAAGCTGATGGCCTTGCTCGACGGCGTCGTATTGTTAAACTTGTTTGCTAGGTTATTCTTACTCGGCACGACCTGCAACCCGTTCTCCGTTATGCTGATCATGCCTGGTCGCGGTACCCGCCAGTATACCAAGTTACGCGGGACCTGGCTCCCAGCAGGAAAGTCATAGACGTCTGGGTCGTCGTTGAACGGCCCGGTACCGGGGATGTCGCGAGACAGGGCGGGGAGTTCCCAGCCAGACATGATGCCGCGGACGGGCTGCATGATGGGCCACTCGCCAGTGGGCCATGTCACAGGGAAGAGAACGGTTTCTCGGCCCATTGGGTAAAACGAGCTGTTGGGGGGTCCCCAGCGCGTGGCTAGGGCGGTGCCCCACCAGTTTCCGTTGCCGTCTTGGAAGAGGTCCGCGTGGCCGACGGTTTGGAAATATTGATCAGTGCCGCGGTTTGTGAGGTGAGGGTTGTGTGGGCTGGGGGTGTAGGGGCCAGTGATGGTCTTGGCGCGGGCCATGGTGACGGCGTGGTCTTCGGCTGTGCCACCCTCTGCGATGAGGAGGTAGTACCATCCATCTTTCTTGTAGATGTGAGGGCCTTCGGGCCAGACGCCGCCTGTGCCATTCCAGAGGTTGATGACAGGCCCCATGGCCCCGGTGTCGATGTTGATCTCTTGGATGCGGATTTCTTGAGTAGCTACGTAAACCTTGCCGTCGTCGTCCCAGAAGATATCAGGGTCAATTTTCGGAGCGCGGAAGAGGACGGGGTCACTCCAGCTAGCTTCGTCAAATGGGTCGGTAGTCTTGAACAAGACACCATTCGTACGGTTGCCGGTTGTGCCTAGGTACTCGCAAATGACGTAGAATGTGCCCTGGTGGTGCCGAATAGTAGCAGCGTACATGCCTTGCTGCTGGGAGTCGGTCGCATAGCTGTAGCCTGGAAGCTGGGATTCGCGGTTCCAGACATGGCTGATGAGTTTATAATTGACGAGGTCTTTTGAGGCGTAGATGGGGAGCCCGGGAAAGGAGATGAATGTTGATGTGACGCAGAAGAATGTTCCGTTGACGGGCGTACATGATGGGTCGGAGTGCCAGCCAGGGAGAACGGGATTGTAGTAGGTTGAGTTATCTGCCCATGCTGTTGCCGAGAAGGCGAGCAGCGATTGGATGAGAGTGGTAAACCTCATGGTGAGTTCCAATGGCACTATCAAAGGCCCGGCGAGAGGTACCCAGGATGAATATATACAGATGCCAATCTACCCCACCCTAAGTCTTCGGCTTACATCCCGCCGTCCCGCCACTCGGGTGAAGTTTGGTGTTGGCACTCGTACTCAACGCCCTTGCTTCACCCTCAGGGAACGTCATGGCTCACGACATTGAGTCCAACCCCGCCTGGGGCTAACCCGCAATCTGGCTACCTTTGATGCATCTTGCCTTTGGTGGGGCTAGTGCGGCGGGTTGCATCTTGGGGATTTCAGCCACTTTAGACGGTATTTAGCCAGCACGACTTGTGCGCCGCTGCTCATAATATTCCGGGACATGGACTGGGGAATGCACTATACATAGTTTTGCCGCTCTGCTGAATTTCGGGATAATGTTTACCGCGATATTTCTTCTGCACACAGACATGGCACCCTCCATGTATATTGGTATCGAGACTTCGCCAGACAAAGTACGGAAAAATTATAGTCCGTGCGTGCGTACTTAGAGTACGTACGTACCCCAGCCGCTCCGCGTCCAAGCGCAGTCAACAACGCGAAAGACGCGTCTTGAGAGGGACAAGCAGTGTGCGCGCGAGGACAGCACACCTCATGAGAACGTCGTGCAGCAACTGCAAAGTGCTGCCACCTTACTCTCCGACCAAGCGACCGCTTTTTTCGACATAGCCGTCCAAGGCTCCAAGTAGAAAAGCATCCATGTGTGGGAGCACCTTCTCGATGCATAGCACAGGCTAAATAACGGACGTCGTCGCTCAAAGCCCGTCACCACCTACCGCGACAATATCATGCAGAACATCGACCGCGGCGCTATCGAGGGCGAGACTACACCAGATAGCTAAGGGACACGTTGAGGCACAGGAGCATGTCTAGATGGAGCGCTCAGTAGGTGACCAGGTCATGGCTGAGTTGCACATTTTCGTGGCCAACCGTCCTCACTGTCGCGATGAAGACGGCCAACTCAGACACACCAGAGCTCACGTCCGCTGGCGGTGGTGGCGATTGGAACAACGGTGACGACGGCAAGGATAACGTGGCTGGTGTCGGCATCAAGCTTGATGATGATGGGAGAATGAGAATGCCGAGTTCAGACTGTGCGCTGACCACTATTCGGTTCGTCTACCGTCAGGAACCATGATACCAGAGGACCCCAAATCAACTCATTCAAACGCCCAGTGCGCCAATGCTGATTTCGGTCTTCCTTTCCCCTCCCTCCTGCAGATGTCCATTGCAGTGCTACCGTGTAGCAACAACGTTTAGAGTATTTGCACCCTCAGCTATCTGATGAGATTGAGCAATCCAAGAAGAGTTAGACCAGGAGCCTCGCCACACCACTGTATAGCCAATAAAGACTGCTTCCAACATCCGCTTTCTCATAGAACAATTTACAATGCTACACTTTAGTATTCTTTCTGCTATCTACTAGTTTATCGTCTTTTATATATAACTAGTGTATATCAATTGCTTTTCCTTATCGAAGCGGAGCATTCCTGCTATATTAGCTTATTACTTTAGCTCAGCTGAAGTATCAGCTGAAGTAGGCGCCTCCGCGGCCGCGGATAGGCTACGACATCTCATCACTCCTTCTCCCCAAACAAGAGCAGAGGCGGAGACGATTTGTCATCAAAATAGCGCTTCGCGGCAGAAATGAGGACTTAATACCCCACTTTTGGTAGCGAGAAAGGCTTTCCCGTAGAGATTCAAAAACCCTTCACTCTTAGCGTCTGCGAAGCGTCTTCGTTACGCACTACCACTCTTTCACCGTTCACCGTTCCACTCTCTTTTCCAGCGCATAGCACGTCGTTGAGATAATGGCCCGAAACCAATCTATCTGGTGTCCGTCAGGCGGAGAATGGTACGGTTGTTCGACGGGGACGTTGTTCGCCGGTTGCTGCGCAGTCAATCCATGTAGTGTTACATGTCCGCAACAACATCTCTATCCTGTTTTCTTCGATGCAGCAATCTTTGGCACTTTTCCGGACTTGTCCTGCGGATCGGGTTCCAGGTTCTATACATGCTCTGGTGGAGAAACCTTCTTTGGGTGCTGCAAAACCAGCCCCTGTATTGCAGGTGTTTGCCCTGATGGCGATTTGACCCCTGCATTCATGGAACGTTCAGATCAAATTGATCTCTTCGGAGATCCAACCATCAACAACATAGGTGTTGCGCCAATCATCACCTCGTCGGTAGCGCTTGCCCGTGAACCCGCAATGACATCCATGCCGGTATATGACGGTTTCGGATCCGGCCCTTCGAAATGGATCATATTGCCTAGCGTCTCCATAGCAGCCATGGTGTCCTTGTGTGTTTTCATTGCCCTTTGGCTTGGCTGGAGAAAGTTTTCTACTCGTGACGGGCATATCTATGCAGCAGTAGAGCCGTAAGTAAAACAGAGTGCTTAGGGCCTCACTACTGACCGAAAAATAGTACACAACTATCTATGGATGCTGTGGATCCAGTGAAAACTGATACCAACATCGCATCCATCGACACGTCTGTTACTCCAAAGAAAGATGATCTCCAACGACTTAGCTCAGCGTCTCTCCTTGCTCTTCTTATGAGCGCCCTGGCTGTCCTCGCAATGTCCTCGTTCTTGTTATTCTTGTGGTTTGGTGATAGCAGAAACAAAACTTGGGGGCATATCATGGTCCAAGGCTGGGCTACCCGGTGTGTAGCCGTGACAGCCCTCGTGCTAAGGACGTCTGTGGACATGCAGGCTGCTGTCGCTTGTGCTATCCTTGCTTCCCTACTGTTGGAATCCAAATCTGGAATACATGTGTTTCAGACAGCCAAAATATCAGCCATGCGGACTGAGAGTACGAGTCCTTGGGCATTCGCTCGCTGCGTGTTGGAAGAGTTTTGGAGATCAACCGCACGATCCCGAAGGAATCATCATGTGTATGCCATGACAATTTGTTTGCTTATTACGACCATTGTTGTTCAATTCTCGTCAACTCTATTGCTTTCAGATCTCAAGCAAGGCTTGCTAATCGGTGGTGTTACTCCTTCCGAGGTCCAGCCTGGTTTATCTTATCCCGTCGGAGGCGTAGAGAGGATAGCTCGTGACTCAGCATGGACTACCAATCCACCCAACTATGCAACGTTCGGGGAATATCACGAGCTGCCTAAAGAGACTACGGATGGAGTTGTTGACACCGGAATTTTGCTGCGAGCCCTTTTGCCGTATGCAGCCACCGAGTTGCGCCAGACCCTGGCAACGTACACAGGAAACGCGTTGACAATTGATGCCAGAGTTACTTGCCAGGCACCTTCAATCACCGGATTTGAGGCTAAAGGATTTAATGGACAGATCAAAGGCATAGTATCGCCTTCCATGAACTCCACAGGACTGCTGTCCATCAAACCGACGCCTTTCGACTGCACAGCGGCTGGGTCAGGTCAAATCACAATATGTCAGCTAGGTCAATCCGGTGATGTCTTCATGGGCTCTCTCAAAAGTCAATTTGAAAACTCTACGGCATTTGGAGCCGCATTCCTTATCATTAATGGCTCGAACAATCACGGTGTAGGAAATATTTGGCGGACTTATTCTTTTCCAAAGACGAACAGAACTGCAGAAGCCTCCATCTCCCTTACGCTGTGTTTTGCACCATGGGATGCTGCGATTCTTGATGTTGAGATTCACAGTAAAGTCAATAGGACCGAACCGATGCTCCGATACTGGAAAGGGTTCAAGTCGTCAGAGGTGCTGGCCCACCTAATACCTCTGACTAAGAATAAAACGCGCCAAATCATGAAATTGGAAAAGCCCCACAGCTTTTTAGGAGATTTACCACCACCATATCGACGTCCGGTCGTACAAAGTGACATGGGCGGCAGCTCGGCAGCAGCCAAGGGAACGAGTGTACCGCTACCGGGGAACTGGTCAGTCTTTCTCACGGGTAGGCCTCTAGTAACGCACCTTCGTTACTTTGATCCGCCTCCTACACAAATCATTTCAGCAGATCCTGCTCTCGCTGCCATCTTTACGGGCGCAATTGAAGCCGGCTTCTCAGTCGAATGGGCGCTGTCGTCTCTCATTACTGTCCTTTCCATGACCAACTACTACAGTCAACAGGTTGCATTTGACCGTGTCGATACTGTCGCTGTTTCTTTCTTCGAAAATGTTCTATACCCCCGTAGTTATGTCGGCCTCACCATAATTATGTGGACCCTTTTTGCGCATTTTGCTCTTCTAGCATTGATGGTCGTCTTATTTATCACCAAAACCAGGTTTACAATCATTGGAAATGTCTGGTTGGCGTTTGTGCAAGTCGCTGAATCGCAGGGTATTAAGGATTATATTGCTAGGGGAAGCCTAACAGGGGACTCTATGCTGTTAAATGAGCTGCATAAGAGTGAGAAGAAGAACATCCGAGCTAGGCTTACACGAAGTGGGCATGGTGCTGAGATTGTAGTAGAATAGATAACACCCACACGAAGAGGATGTAAATTAAGCATATCAGCATAAACAATATATGATACATTTTAACTTCAAGCCTGTATATTCTTATCCAGCGGATATGCAGGACATCATGGAGTGACTGATTATTTAGTTATTCAAGAGAAATGTATTATAGATACCTCGAAGTGAACTAGTAGGTCGCAAACGAGTTACTAATTGCTTAGTTTGAACAAACATTCGTCTGGTTTAAGGATAAACCATGTAACGGGCTGAATGAGGGTTAGCAGAGCCCCTCGATGAGATCTTGGTACGCGATCACAGGATCCGGATGCAAGCCCGGTCACATGGATTCTGCTCATCTGAACCGCGATGCTCAGATCATGGAAGATCATATCTCTGCGATTCATACACAGATATCAGCACTCCAGTAGATAGTTGCCGCTTTTTCCTCGAGTATACCTCTGTTACACCTAACGCTGTCCTTGCCATAGGGCTCTTGGAGCCAGGTTCTTTGCAGCCCAAAGTAGTAATTCTATTTACCAACCTAGTGAAACTCTGAACTCCACGGTCTTCCAGATGTAAGGAAAATTACTACGTTGATAAACAAAGCTTCAAGAGCATCGAAATGGCAGGTTGTATATATCCATCTATCAGCAAGTACATGACTCATCCCATGTTATATAAAGTCCTTGCAGGGCTTCTATACGGTACTGCCTTGACACTTTCAACATCCACAAACCCATACTTCTTTTTCCCTTTGTCTTCAGCCAAGCTCTTTGCCCAAGCTTCATTGTCCTTCTTGAATGCCTCAAGGTTCTTCTCTTCACTTAGTTCAATCAGCTCATGACCCTTGCCCAGTTGTCTGATCTGCGTACCAGCTGTCATACTAGTAATACCAAGGTCAATATCGTCTGTTAGCTGATTGATAGCAGTGTATACCTCGCCAGTGAGAATCTGGCGCGGTAGCTCTGGCTCTAGGCAGACTGAACGGGCAAGACGAACACCATCGACTATATTGAGAGCATCTGTCATTGCTGGTACTGTCTTGAACCCCCTAGTAACATATGTTCTTGTCTTGGAAAGGGTGAGTGTGATTTTCTCTGCAAATTCAAGGGAGAAGGCCTCGTGTTTCTTCGTTGATTTGTGCTTATGCGCAAAAGTAAGCTATTTGTATGTGCAGCTAGATAACTCGATAAAGTCCAAACTATTATCTACAGACATCTTCCAAAGAATAGCAGCTTCGTTAATGCTTAAGCTAGTTGCTCGCTATACTTTGGCGTTAATTATAAGCGTGTTAGTTATTTGAGTATGATTTTTCTATTATCTAGGTTACTACAAAGATGTTTCCTAATCCGCACTTGCGCGCTAAGAAGTTAATACTCAGAGTAGTTATCGCATATGGACAAAAAGTCGATACTAACTAAATACCGTGTATTCTAATATACCAAGTGGTTTCACCTGAATTAGCCTTAGCTAGTCTAAATAGCTACGACCTTGAAAAGCGTAGCCTGCCGCATAACATCCAACTCGGGCCCTAGTGACTCGGCCTAGAAAAAAGCTACCATCTTATCCCCAATTGCAAAGATGACTGATATTTTGTAGTTAAAGAAGCAGTTAGAAGAGTTAAACAAAGTTAGAATGAGCATTTTATACCTCCTTAGAGGTAAAGTATGTATCCTTTTGGAAGACTTCACACTAGATAATGCCTTAGATAGCACTCAAGTCACCAAAACAAGTGAGCGTAGTGTTTTTAAGGCGGATTAGGGACGAAATTCCCAATAACTGCGCAAAATTTGAAACCATACTAGACCGTGTTAAGCATGCCTTCCAAAAACTTGCCATACGCCTGCCCCACAAGCCTAATGTGCAGGCTTGAACAGTCGAGAGCGTAGATAAGCTGCTTGTCTAGGAACATAAAATTACCAAAACATGGCACAGTTGTTTCAGGATCCTCGGTCCTTGTTACAACTGGCAGCACTAAGCTTTTGCTAGGAGACATTGCAAGTATAAGGGAAGAGAAAATGATGTGGAGATAGCTTACACGAACTCTGATAGCTGGGGGAGCTCAGTACACATAAAGTCTTGGATCTCTTACATAAAAAGTAGATGCTATTAGATAATATGCGCAACTTTAAGGTTTGGCACAGGATAAGCAAACAAGTTTGTTAGAAGCAACTATGGACCTCATTGCAGGTTAGTCATCTGCACGCCGATTACACTTAGTAGCAAGTTCTTGATTAGTATGAAAAATTTCATTCAGCTAGCCACAACTACTCCATGAACTCAGTGAACTACTATTGTTCCATGCATAGATTCGCTCCAGGCAGGGTTGCCAGCTGAACTAGACTGATTCTGCGCACCCGACCGAAACCCGGTGACCCAATCACTATCAACCCCCCAATTCGGCTGGCAGCAACCCGATATGCATGTCTCTTTGTGTATATTGCTGCATTAGTGTAGCACGCCAATGCCAGAGTCGATTCAGTTACAAGGTGCTTCCTCCAGTGTCTCCTTGTTTGATCAAGACACATATAGAGCAAAGCAACATGACTAGTAAATAGGAATGATCATGATATCTCTATGGCTATTATATATATTATTAATACTAACTACGAGTAAACGTTGTACGAGTTTAGCTAGTTGATCTTCTATGAAGAGAGTCTGATATTATGATTACATAAAACTCTACCTAAACATAATGTAAATACTGAGGAAGATTTTACAAGTAGGCAAGGTACACGTGGTCAGTTTTACCTATTGTAGAGATTGAGCGGCTGTATGTGTCGGATGTAGTGAACAGAACCAAGCCTAGATCTAGCTACAATAGGGGTGAAAGATGATTTCTGTCATAGAAATATCTAGCCTTTTCACTAGATGGGCCATTTTCGCACAGTAAATTGCTTTTTGAGGCTGCATGCATCCGTAAAATGTTTTGGAAAGTGTGGTAACTCGGGCCGACCCAAGGTGTCGCTATTTCTACATGCATACGTTCGGCATCCCTGTGCGGGGTACTGCGAGCTGACCAGTTCTGATATTTTTTACGCTGCACTATGCTGTTGTTAGTGGGCTCAGCTAGCCATAAAATGCTAATGGAAGTTCCTTCACAGTCATGTATGTACATAAGCCCATGCCTGATACATCAGGTCTCATGTGCAAATATAAGCGCGCGATACAAGGTGAGGGTTTTCTTTACAATAATGCTAGCAATGGCTGTAGAGTTGGATAAGCCATCCTCGCAAAACAGGCTGAGCTGAGGTAAACGCCAAATAAGAAAGACAAAGGCCAAGCTTTATGAGAGCCTTTCTATGTAATATCACTGTGCGAAGGATTAGCAGGTCTGTAAGTGATTTATACATTGGTATGTACACACAAGCTCAGACTTGCTGTCGCCAGATTAAGATCGCTATAGCACCGCATTATGGACAACCCCCGCTCGCGTCAGAGTTACATAGCTGGACATTACCCTTGATAAAAGTAAGCTGAAAATTGTGGAGGCAAGCTGAGGTAGACATCGCATAACCCGACTGCTTGAAGGGGGGCAGGTGCTAAGCTGTATTATGATAGTGGCGTAGCCGGATCTGGAAGCCAGATCCATATCAGCTATATTGGTATGTTGTGAAGAAATCACTTCTTCTCAAACCCAGACAAGCTTGGGTATAAGAATTGATCAATGGGCCTCGTTTTAGCTTCAAACCAGCATTGCTACAATTACCCATCCATTTTTCAATCACCTGCAATCAGTACCACATGATGGCTGCCACCGCTATTCCGGAAACACAGCGCTTTCGGACAGTGTCAAAAACCTAGCTCAATTGATCAGCAATCCTGGAAGTGATCTGCCTGAAGAAGAACTTCACGGCCTCAACAAACTCATCGATGACTGGCACAAGGATGATATCACGGTCGACCAAGAAGAATTTACGCGTCGAATCCTTTTAGTGTTCAAGAGTTCTACTCGCAAAGAGATATATGAAAGAGAACTTGACAAGCTACTACCCGAGCACAAGGAAGCTATCACAAGTTTTGTAGACGGAAACACCAACGCGATATCGCTGGGCAAGATTCTAGCGCCTACGGTACCATTCATAGAGGATTTCCTGGACAACCCGAGTGCCTCCATCTGGAGCAACGTGCCTATCAATGCGGCTATGGAGGAAGGACAACCCCATGACAAACCTCCAGAAGTAGCCTCACTAGCGTTCAGCACAAAGATGATGGCATCCCCAAACGAGTTCCTTCCGCGGAACATCGTCCCCAATAAGCCATATCGAAAGTTCATCTCAGCAAGAGCAATCCTGCAACTTTGAAACATGTTGCTGACATGCATAGGGGAAGGAAAAATACGTCGAGTTTCAAAATTGGGGCAGGACTGTCAAGCATACTCCACTAGTCACTTATTATCCCGAAAACGTGGAAGAAGTCAAGACTATCGTCCGCGATAGCGTTCAGAATGATCGCGGTGTGCGCGTTTCTGGCTTTCGTAAGTTCTATTGCTTGATTGGAGTTTCGTTTCAAGCTTACCCATGCGTTTAGGCCATTCTTGGGCCCCGCTGTTCGGCCGCAACAACAAATCTGGTTACAAAAACAATGGCGATATTTTAATCTCAACCTTATCCGAGAGAAATGCAGGAATACTTCCTAACTTTACTTTATTGCCTTCTAGTCTTTGGCAGCCCCCAGAAACAGAGCTCAATCATATTCAAATAGTGGATGTTTCTTGCGTCAATGGACCTGAGCTCACAAGAGGCAAAAAATTATGTCCGTGTTGGTACGTCAACTACCAATGAGCAATTCCGACGCTGGTGCATCGACATCGGCAACGTGACGTTGCTGGTGAACATCATAGAGGTTGAGATTACCATGGGTGGAAGTAATGCGCCAATCTGGTAAGTCGTAAATCCCAACTCCCAAAACATGCTGGCTTGAACCTGCAGTCATGAGGCCAGTATCAAAAACTCAACACTTAGCGATCAAGTTCGTCGCATTGCGTACGTTGATGTCAACGCCGAACTACGGGCAATCGACATGGCAGATCCCACCTTACTCAATGTAGCATCTGGGTGTTTTGGCCTTATTGGAGTTGTCACGCATATTGTGCTTGAGTGCGACCCAATGTGCACAGCCCTCATGCATCCTGTGAAACTGGATGTTGTTAGAGCTATCCCTCCACCTCCTGAAATGAAAGTGGCGGATATTCCGGAACCTCTTCGTCCGAAGGAATCCTGGATGGAAGTAGACAGAAAGAAGTATCAGCCAAAGTTTAAGCGACGTGTCAATAACGACTACTACGCAGAATGGTTCTGGTTCCCGTATTCGAGCAAGGTATGGGTTAACACATGGTCCGTCGACAAGAATACGGCAAGTGTCGAGAACTATCCAGACTATTTCCACACGACTATCCAAGTGCTTGGAACAATCATCGCGAACATGGCACAATGGTTCATGTGAAACATCAAAGCTACCGGCTGGTGTGCGAAAGACCAGGATGCATTTACTTGTGAACCCTTTGTGTTTTTCTTCTCCATGCAACGCTGATCAAAGCTAGCTTGGGTAGCGATGGAACATCTGGACGTCGTGAATGACAAGCGCAAGGAAATACGTACTCTCCTCCCAAATGCTCTTCATTTCTAGCGCGGCGTACAAAACATTAGAGTACGAGATATGGAAGTTGAGCTTCCAGTAAGTCTTTATGTTTTGATGTAACACTTGATCAAGCTAATATCCTTTAGCTGCAACCAAAGAAAGGGACCAACAATGTGCGTGACTACAGTAACGTGCAACGCGCCTGGTAGGATGCTATCATCATTTGCTATGCCAGTGACCCCACTGCACCCATGCGTATGCCATTAGAAATGCGTATCATGGGTAGCAGTAATGTCACCATGGCCCCTCAGCGAGGAAATACGGTAAGAACTTGCGCCATCGAGAGTTTGACTCTAGCTGCTGTTGCCGACATCTGGGAGCCCTATGCACAAGAAGTACTAGATAAGTGGACGCAGTACAAGGACGTCGATGGTAACCCTTTGCGCATCCGCCCTCATTGGGCAAAGGAATGGGACCGTTGTAAGGTCAACGGCAAACCTTGGCGTGAGACCCTCCAAAACAAGACCTATAAGAATGAGATGGCCGAGTTCAAAAAGCTTCTAGCAATCATTGGTAAGAAGCACTAATGGACTCTTAGTGATCTGAAGTGGACTTTTTCAAATGAGATGTTGGATTACTTCTACTTCGATGATGTCTAGTCGAGTCCTCATTCAGCCACAAATTCAGGAAAGACCATGAAAGGTGGATAGGAGCAACAGTCGATACACTAAATAGTGCCACGGCAAAGTCGAACGAAAAGTAAGGAGAAATATGGACGAGGTGACGGATGCTCGGCTGTTCTCTCTAAACACCCTATAGCAATCGTCTGCCCTCTCTCTTCATATTTCTCTAACCAAAAATGTCTCATTGCAAAACAACAGTCTACAATCATGAAGAGCAGTAATCTCTTCAATGATTCAGGATCAACGGAAACATCAGCTTGGGAACCTTTTAAGAGGGTAAGATATTCGGCGATCATCAGAGCGTGGGTCATCCTGCTACAAAGAATTCCTATAGTAAAGAATATTCTCTCCCTACTCTCCTTCTCTGATTGAATCCTTGTCATGAGCGGCTAGTTTGTAGCTGCTCTGAGATGCTGTCCATAGCGACATAGGAGAACACCATCGCGGGGCCTAGTGTGGCGCCTGCACCCGCATACCTTGATCCCACTACACTCGCGCTAAAATTACCCGCTGCATAAAGACCTACAATCAGTGTACTATTCTCCTTTAATACACGTGCATGCTCCTCTCTCAGAAGGCCACCTTTAGTGCCTATATCTCCTAGGTGCAACCTTACTGCATAGTATAGAGATTTATTACATAGGTCCTAAATCAGGATCCGATTTGTTGTATAGATCTCCAAAAGAGTTATCGTACAAGCTCTTGCTATCTCTGGAGTTCTTATATACACTATTAGAGGCAAAGCTATTGAACCGGTTAATAGTGCTCTGCAACTTAATCGGGTTGAGAAATAGCTGTGTTGCTTGGCCTTGAACAATGTTATCCTTATAGATGAATCATTAATCAATTACTGATTGAGGAGTTACTCAGGGCCCAAGCCTAGCGAGCATGTATTTGTCGCGATGCCTCAAGTCAAGGATTATCCAAGAAGGATTGGCAGCAGCCATCTCTTAGTGTTTCTTGACAGCTTTTCCAAAGTCATCGTAGTCAAGAGATTCGTTTAACTAGCGTTGAGCATTCTCATCAACAACTATAGCCCCAGAAAGCGAGCGAACTATTAGGTCAAAAATAGGCTTCTCGCTCATGATAATCATTAGCATCCACCGGGCGTGGTTCACCAGATCGATCGAAAGACCAAGTTTGACGCCTGCTGCGATACCATCACCCTGGTTCCAGGAAAGGCTATGGTCCATTGAGTATGCATGCTATTCTCGTGATACTGCTGGCGCATGACAGTGTTTCTGACAGACCCTCTAGCTGCTAGAAGCACACCATGCCGGGCCCTAGTCCTCAAGCGTCTGCCGTCTCTTTCTACGACTGCTCCAATCACCCTTTGAATGCGATCCGAGATCAGTTCAACAAGGCTAACTTCTCGCCATGTCTCGGTCCCTTGTTGCTTGTTGAGTACAGCAACTGGATGACTAAATTCTTGCCGAAAGTTACCGCCTTTTGTCCTACCAATATCCTCCCAACTGTGTTCCCCATCATGCTAGCAAACATGATGAAGTCGCTCAAATGAGCACCCATACAATAGATATAAGGCGTCTTCTCACAATAGCGGACAGGAGTAGGATCGTTAGGAAGCCATAGCATTGACTGCCAGCTTCCAAGCTTCTTGAGACCAAAGATCTGCCCTTCGATTACCCAGCCAAGTGGTTTCGAGCCAGGTGCTAGACTGTGTTAATCTGGATAGCCTATGGAAGCGTGCCATTTGAAGCCGAGGCTCTCTAGGAAACGGACCATCTGAGAGCTGTCGTTGATATATGCCCATCTTTGCTGCTTGCTACTTGATCGAGTATTCATACTTATAACCTAGAAGGCTATAAAACGTTAAACATAGTAGCTATTATATAAGGTAATAAATATACGTAACTTAAATCTAACTATAACTAGCGCTAATTTAGGCTACGTAAATAGCAAAGAACACACGCTAATCATAGCAGAGATAGCGCACAATAATCACACGGTTCTGAAGGTTTCCATCGATCAGTACAACACCCAATTACTGAATACTATCGCTGAATTCGCTGATATGCAGACGATGTCTATCCTTGCCGCGTTGTGCCTGCTAGAAACCCCTAGTAGAGACGGTTTCGCTGTTGCCCGCGCAATTCTTCAATCAAGATAAGACTAAAATAAGTTACTACAACATAGATTCCATAATCTGTGCCATTGGTTATTATATGAGGATGAAGTAGCAATACTAACAATTGACTTGAGGGGATAGAGACCAGTAGAGCTTTTGCACGAGTAGTTGTAATCTTTAGAGAAATAGCTACAAAATATATCTCTTTACGTCGCTCTTATCATAGCTCTCTCCATTGCAGTCGCTATTTCTGGATTAATAGGGTAATTTTACATCGCATAGGGCTCTCAAACCTGCCCAGTTTCAATGCTATTAACTCTTAACCTGGCAAAGGCAATGCTATACCGAGGTGGAAAGCTAGTTAGTTAACATTGTTTGGTTTATAGCTTTGATTTGAGGTTATTCATCTAGCATACTAGAGACCAAATTAGAAAGACGTACCTTAAGATTGAGATCGATCTAGGTAGGAAAGTTATTATGTAGTAACTAGCTGTGAATCGTCTAGCCGAGCCAACGTTTCACAAAATAACGAAGAATAAGTCCATGTGCGACCTATAGTACTTATCCAATACTTATCGCGAGAGGAAACGGATCAAAAAGGAAGATAGACTATTCAAGTAGGACATTAGCGTGTTTCTCCTCACGCATGTATAGCTTTTAAATTTCCTTGATTTTCGAGACTAGCCTGTCCAGTCGCTCACTAACTTGCTAAGCTGATCTTGAAAGTATTAGCAACGGTCTTAAACTATACCTAGAACAGAGTAGAGTATACTCTCCACCTTTACACTTGACTATCTAGATACTACAATCTCTCTTATAATCTAACTGTAATGGGCAGGCTCTTTGAGCCTAACGTACAACTACTTACGTCGACCATTTTGCCAAAAAGGCAGTAACAAGACTTCAAGCTTATCTTGAAGTCAAGGTAGTTGCATAGGTATACTCGATTTGCTTGGCTTTAGCCGAGCCACATACATGGGCGTAGCCCTTTACACTAACCCTTACCTCTTTCTTAAATCTCTTATCTCCTAGTCTGTAAGCCTTTCGTAATTACTAAAATTCTATTTAGTAATATTCTTAGTATATAAAGTCTTTTTTGTAAGAAGATTGGTAGGGGATAGTAGTAATTAAAAAGTTTTTACAGCCTAGGATTTAGGGCTACTGAAGATATATAATAGGTAGGATAAATCTATAAATTTCCTAACCTCGATAAATGTATTAACTATCAATAAGACGTATGCAATCCCCGTTTTAGTTAGCTTGATGTCTATAATTCCTATAAAGCGGCCCGACTTGGCCCACTCGGTCTCCCCTATCTATAGAACACGTATGATTAACATGCAGCATTATAGATTGGAAGCGGTCTGCATCGAGCATACCCATAAAGGAAACTTACCATGGCGAACAAGGAATACTTGCGGTGTTAGGGCGTCTTGATCAGACGTAGCCAAGGGCGATACTATTGATTGATGAAGAAAGGTATAAAGTAGAGTACGAAGCAATCAGACCCCCTGCCAAAGAGTTCTAGACCCACTTGGCGTACCCCGCTCAGTCTCCTAGCCAATCAGATCGTGCTATCCTAAGTCGCTACATATCTAAATGTGTGGCTGCTGCAAAAAGTGCCAACCACACCCACTGTTGGCAGGTTGGTGGCTGATGATTTGGTTCGCTGGCGCATGATAATTGGCACGAGCGTCATGCGGGTCATATCGGCTGACTATCCGGCTTGTACGACCAGACATAGCCATTCATAGGAAGCGGGGTTCGCTCAATTGAACCATCTCAGTTTCTCATACTATTCCCCACCTAAGAAAGTTTTCGGAGTCATGGTGTGTTCGCCAATTACAGAGGATTACTACATGATCCTCGAAGTCGAGCAAAATGCTTCACCTCAGTCAATTGTTAGTTCTTACAGACGGCTGGCGCTGAAGCTCCATCCGGACAGGAATGCCAAGCACGACGCTACTGAGGCTTTCCAAAGGGTATGTTAACGTTCCAGAGCGAAGTCAATCATCCTGTCTATTATCATCACCTATGCTGATGCTTAACACTACAGCTCGGGCGAGCCTACGAGACGTTAAAAGACGAGACTAAACGTCGAGCATACAACCTCATCTACCCATCCATAAGACAAAGTCACCCCCCTCCCCAAAGGACACAAACACCCCATCCAACTACTGCTTCGACACCGCAAGCAGGAACACTTAGCGAAGCTGCACAAATAGCCGTGATTCAAAAGTTGAAACAAGAACGTAGTGAACGATGGCGGGAGAAGAAGAATACCTTTAATTCTTTAATTTTAGATCTGCGAGAACATATTGGAAAATTGGAACAAGAAATCAAGAATCTTGATAGTATTTCTGCTGCTGAGGCAGCAGCAGATGCACGGAAGAATAGTTGGGCAACATGGTTTTTATCACCAATATACAAGAAGGTGGAAGATAGTGAGGAGGAGAAGGAACGTAAAGATAGAAAAAGGCAGGAGAGAAGGATTGAGAAAGATATGAAGGAACGGCGCCTGGAATTCTACAGTGCGGATTTGAAGATGCAGGAGAAATTGTTCCGAAACGCAAAGGAGGAGCTTGACGCTGCGAATCGATGTGACGATGTAAAGATACAAGCAATCCAGGCTAGGGTTATGGCGAGAGAAAGACAAGAGAGAGAAAGGCAAGAGAAAGAGAGGCTAAAGAAAGAGAGGCAGCGACTGGAGAGAGAGAGGTTGGAGAAAGAGAGGCAGAGACTAAAGAGGGAAAGGCAGGAAAGAGAGAGACAACAGGAGATTGAGGATCTTTGGAAAAAGCAGCAGAAGGAGAGGCAAGACAAGATGACAGAGGCATTAAGGAAACAGCAGAAGGAGAAGCTATCAGCCGAAAAGAAACAAAAGAAAGCTAGAGAAGCCCGGAACCACTATGCATATCCCAATACATCCGAAAGAAATACTGGTCAGGCTTACACATCTATCTGCCAACACCACGGTTGGTGGCCAAAAGTACAAGGACGTAGAAATTGTCCAAACTGCGATCAGAACTGGACTTATCTACTAGAGTGCCCGGGCTGTGAAATGAAGCGGTGCCCGAAATGTCAAGCTGCGATAAGACGTGCAAGGATGAATCGGAAAGCCCCTCCCCCAGCAAGAACTCCGAGCCCTGATTTTGGTTACGACTATAGCTGGTAATGTTGATTTGGAAGGGGATATATAATAGAACGCTTCTTTACTTCGTTTTTAGCATAACGTGCTTCGAGATATCTTATTCTCATTAACTATATATGTACATCAGGATAGACAGTATCTAGTGGATATTGCCCGTGGGCCCGTGCATAGTATTCTAAGTATTGGGACTAACTCAATTAGAAAAGCTCTAGGTAATAAGTAGCTAGCTTTTAGAACCTAGCCTTCTCTGACCTCCTTTAGCTCTCTTAGGGGCCCTTTAGTCTATTCTTACTCTTCTTAGTTATATCGCACATCATTGAGAGTGGTTATATACCAGTGTATGCTCTGTTGTACCCAATCACTTACAGACTGTACACAAGAGGACGTCGCCACATGACATGCATTCGTCTCCTAGAGGCAGCTTACGCAGCGAACATTTGGCCCCCAACGCAGCGAACATTTGGCCCCTAACACAGCCCCACTTGCCTCGCCAATGTATACCTGATTGTCAGCATTCCGCGGATGTTTCCCCTCAAATACAAATGTCTTTGTCCCCTTCACCTGCCTAGCCGTTCCATTGTCTCATACAAGTCGACTGCGGCGTAGTACGTGGTAGATTATCTGGATTCGTGTTCCTTCTGTTATCTTCGACATGGTGAGACAAAATGAGCCTGTGCAGGAGCAGGAGCTTAGTGAAATACTGTTTGTGCGCCACTTAGCACATTGAGATGATTTTCTAACGTCTGTAGATGTGGAAGCGCTACTACTGGGCTTCTGGATTCTGAAATCCCAAGGTTGAAGCGCGCACTGCCCCTCAATGAGCCAAACTCAAGATACCGAGATTTTTTTAAACATATCGGATTGCAACTGCCCGACTATATTGGCCGTAGCGCTTTCTCTTGGAGATCAACAAAAGAGCATCCGAAAGTTGCTACATACAAAAGCCGGCGCATGGCAGCCTTAAACAGTCTGCTTCACTTTGTACCATTGAGCGGTGCTCTCGTCCTCGTGGTTTTGTTCTGGACACAATACTGGATCGGCGGTAACTCTGATAACGCAACATCTCTACAATTCGCTGCCAAACTACATGAAATGCTGATGCAAGCATCACTCGTTGATATCCTGTTATATGTTATTCGCTTTCAAGCCACCAGCGGTTATATACCATTGGGCGCACTCTCAGGAGCTGCGAAAGCTCCTCAATTGTCCTACTTATGGTCACTAGACTTCTTTTCAGCCATTTTGAGTCCAGCTTTCAGTGCACGACGTAAAGCGGCTTTCATCTTATCAACGTCGGGTTTACTGTTGATGACAGCAGTTGTTGGTCCGTCATCAGCTGTGTTGATGATTCCTCGACCTGACATGCCACATATTAATCGAACCGTCATACGCTATTCCAACGTGACAGAATCTTCTTTATTCCCTGTTCATATTGATAACCATACTGCAGGTGGTGTAATGAACATGTGAGTCGTGCATTCTGCAGACTTATCCCCGTAGCTGACAGTGGCCAGCACAAGATTAGACGAGATCACACGATTTAGTTATGTGGATATCAATACAGCTGATAAAATTCCGGCCGACGGGTACTCTTGGAGCAGTGACCTCGACCTTCGATTTGGACAATTCTTTCGAACTGCGTACCAAGTCTACTTAAATCTTGCTTCGAACGTTGATATCAAAATCGCAACAATCCCAACAATGTTAAGCGCATTGCGTCTGCTCAAAAATAGCCCTGTCTACGGATATAGGGAAGATATCGACGGTACTTACCGTTCTAGAGCAAAATCTGTCAACACAAGATGGACATCTTACACATCGCAACCAGTTGTGATGGTCAAGTGTTCAAGTGTGCAATCGGCAAAAGATATTGAGAACGTGTATTACATCCGAGATGATAATTCACGAAGTCCATTACATGGTGCGGCCAACCTATTGGGACCCTATCTAAGCAAATACGCGAACCGGATCAACCTTAATATGTCCACAATTCCACTGCTATGGATGACATCCCCTGACAGCTCAAAAAATCTACTCCTGGTGTATCTTGATCCTGAAGAGGGCAGCTGGCTTGAAATATGCACAATAGCTGCGTTCTGGCATAAAATTACCACAACCATGGTTCTTTTGAACTCAGACGCTATAATACAAACTAGGTTATTAGAGGGCGAAGAATACTGGAAGAAGAGCAGCATGACAGAAATCATCATCGACCCTGTGTTTGTGTCTTCGCTAGGCCCACCCTGCACAAATACGCATGGAAACCCTACCTTGAATCTAGCTTTGTGTTTCGTTGCTGCTCTCTCCTGGATTCCTAGTATCAAACACGACGCATACAAAGGGTACAATCGATTCGAGCTGAACGACTCTTCGACACTGTCCACTTTCGAACTTGTCGAAACAATTAACGGTTATGGTTACGGGGCAACTAACACATCCATCCGCCTCTCCGTCGCCGTCATGCTCACTTACTGTATCATCACTATCGTATACGTCTCCTACATAATCATTACCGGTCACACATCTATAGCTTGGGACAGCGCCACCGAACTCATTATGTTAGCTATTCAATCTAAGGAACCTCCCGGCCTCGGGCACATCTCTGTAGGTCTGGACTCGATGGAAACCTTTCGCAAATGCGTCGGAATTAGGGTCAGCACTCAAGGCCATGATAGTACAGGCGAGCCAGTTGAGAAACTAGAATTAGTATTTGAGGACGATGAGGAAGCTAAGAAGAGGGGGTTATTAAAGATTGAACGCGGTAAAGCGTACTAAATGTAAGTGAGTGAAAGACCTACTCTATATATTGGGTTACTAGCGAAGCCAGTAAAAGTGCTTATAAACTCGTTCGTGCACTGCTAAACCTATATGTGTGTCAGAATATGGGTATATATTGGGTGGTGGACGAAATCCGGTTGCGAATCGGAGCACTCGGACTCCGTGGATCAGTTGGATTAGTGAGCACGCACGATCCACCGCGATCATACTCAGGGGATCAGCGCGGATCAGATCAGATCAGATCAACAAGAACAACACGATCAATCAAGAATCAATTACAGTGAAATATCACAGTTTACTCCCGTCTTTGATAACCCATCACAATCTGACAATGTGATGGGCGGGCTCTTTGAGCCGAACGTATAACTACTTACGTCGACCATTTTGCCAAAAAGGCAGTAACAAGACTTTAAGCTTGTCTTGAAGTTAAGGTAGTTGTGTAAATATACTCGATTTTGCTTGGCCTAGCTAAGCCACACATATGGGCGTAGCCCATTACACTATATATGTTAGAATAAACAATATCCAGTGGATATTACCCATGGGCCTGTGCTCTCTACCCTGCATATTGCCACCAGGGCCAATTAGGAAAGCTCAAGATATTAACCTAATATCTATAAGATCTACTTACTAGAATTCACATCTTTCTATATATAATAGAATACATAATATCTTATCAATATTACTTATTACATATTAAGACGCCCGAGGAGCAGATGCAAATGCCTAAGTTTCTTTCTAACCTGACCATTACTAGCTATATTTGTTATTTAAACCATACAATGGCTACTATACTAGTTACGGTGTCGATGTCCGGAAATACTGTCGATGTTGCTTTCGACATGGAAGATTTTCGCAGATCCCAGATCCTCATTCCCGAAAATCTACTCAACGACTCAGAATGTCAGCAATCTTACACGACACCAAAATGGTTTGAGTATATTGCCTCGCTGGAAGTGATATGTGGTAACTTAGAAGATTCGTTCTAAGGAATATCGGCATTACTCAGGGGCCTAATACGAGTTCAACGGAACCAAGATGTTGACTAGCCGTAAAATTACGCAAAACGCGGCATATATTAGATAAAGATATTTTGGGGAGCTGTTAAGGTAATCGCTGGATGGGTTAGGTGCATCACAAACTGAAAGCGTGAATTGACAGAGGATGATCTCTGAATGGAGGATCATTGTCAAGAAGGAGATTACTGCTACATTGGCTGCTCTTTTCTTCATCTCCTTCTTTATTATTATTATTATTATTTTGGTTTTACGTCCTGTCTCAGCCGGTGGGCTATATAAGACGTGCAGGCTAGGCCCGCAAGTATCTACGTAGTGCTATCACTTTGGTGTAGGTGGGGGAGGGGGCTATCTAAATCGAGGTGAGGCTCGTAGCCTAGTCTAGAGGGAGGTAGAAGGGGGTCTTGCGGGTAAAAGAGAGAGGTAGGGTGGGTGTAGGGCGAGGCCACCTAGTATAGGTGTTGCCCTAGTTCTCGAGGTTTCCTTTGTGCCAGGCCTGTGTTGCAGCCCTAGTTTCTTCAATAAAGGCAATAGTAGCCTGTATGCCTACGCTCGTGTTTAGCAGGAAGGCTAGCGATAGGGGGTCCTTGCTCGCCTCCTGCATCTTTATCCTAGCCTCCTTATATAGCGTACAGCTAAGGAGGATATGGGTAGGATCTTGAGTAGCTCTATAGTTGCAGGGGCAAACTTTAGAGTCTACTTTGTCTCGCGTAAAGAGAAAGTCTCTTAGGTAACAGTGGCC